TATTCTGTGCTTGTCGGAATTGTTGGTCACTTATTTTCTCCTTATAGAGTTGTCAAATGCTGGAAATCGCTGCCGGGGCCGAGCTAGTCCAAGCGACTTCTCAGGGTTATTCATTGAGGCAAATTGACGTTTCTGAAGGGACAAAGGGTACTGATTGCACGTTGAGTGGTGACCAATGTTCTTTTCCTCTTTTATGTTAAACATTCCTAGGTTCCTGCCTGGAGGATTTGGTGTTCTCCCTGCTTTACTAAGGACACGGAAGCCTGTTAAGCGAAAGCTTTCTTATATTACGTCCAAACCTTTGAACCATTTGAACCATTTGTACGATTAAAATAAACATTTTTAGTATATTATGTCGTGATGCTACCTAGTTCCGTAGCGGTTATATAAATCACCCAAATTAAATTGCTCACTGTAAGTTTTCAACATTGGATGCTGGACCTGATTAGTTTTAGTTCGGACTCAACTAGCTGGAGGCGCTTGGTCAGGTCATACGCACAGTTCACGTGTGGGAACCGCCGTGCTCATCATCTACTGCATCGTTCGTAGTCTGACTAGTTCAAAACCATATTCTATATATTGGAAATACTTGTGATGGTTGGAGATGATTTGATAGCTCAGGTGGTTGTTTTTGGTGGTGTTTTGTTCTCTGGCGGGATGGTTTGGTCGTGGAGCTTTTCTTCGTTCTTCTGACGAAATCATACAGCACAAACTTAAGACCTAAACCATCTCAGCTACAGCCGTGTAACTAATTCACCTACACATATTATTTTGGCATTCATCAAATACTAATTCATGATCTTCACTCGATTCTGTTCTTTTAGGGGTCTCGGGGGTGGGTTTCGAGTTATTTTGGTGGTACTGGTTTTTTGGTTGTATTTTATCTGCTATATCCAGTGCCTGCTTATGTCCGTTTAAGACTATGGTAGTATCATTGTCCTTTTTTGATTATCGGGGGTAGTCAGTTGGTCGTGGGCGGCACTGGCAAGTTTTGGTATGAATGCGGGTAGTGTAGGTTTGGTGGGGAGTGGGGGGGTATGGGGGCCGGGAGGGAGTGGGGTGTGGTGCAGAATGGGGAGGCTGGGGTGGTCCAGTTAGGTTTTGTGGTGTATGGTGGGATTTTATGAGGATTTTCCTGTTGGGATTTGTACTGCTGTTGGGCAGGTGTAGTATACGATATTAGGGTCTCCGGGTAGAGTTGGTGGTTTGTGGCTGGGTGGGTGTGAGAGAGTCAACAATAACCTGCTGTGGATGGAAACAGTTACCGTTGGTTTGGAGCGCAGGTGGTGGACGGGGGATGGGGTGAAGGTGTGGCGGGGACTTGGGTATTGTCGGTTTATGGTGTGGGAATGTCTATGAATGGGGGATTGGATCAATAATGTTGGAGTGGTAGGTGGTTAGGGCTTCGGTCGGTTAGTGGGAATTTTCGGAGCGGTTTGGGGATGCATGTGGATTGTGGGGAGCGAATGTTGTGGGGTGTGAAGTATGGTGGAGGTATGAACGGACGTGATGCTGATGGTTACTAGGCTTAACATGAATGACTGTTTGTGGTTGGGCCTTACTAGGAGGTGTTCATGGTGTTGTGTCTATGGGCTTTTGTCTTTTCCGCGTGGTGCCGTGTTTTCGGCTGTGGTTCTATTATGTGTAGTTGGTAGGTGACTGGTCAATTCTTACCGGAACTACCCGTCACATTTTCGTTCAGTTGAATGTGTCCTATTGGGCATGGACTGTCGTGCTGGTTATTGTTGATGTATATTGAATACATACATGAGCCTTGTGAGTTGGTAAGTGTAGTTGCGGTACGTTTTGGGTTGTGGTCAGGTGAGGGGGGGTGCTGGTACTGCGTTGAAGCGGCAATGGCTAGGGTTCTGATACTGCGTTAGGCACACTTAATGCCGTGAATTGTATGGCCTGGTCGACGATCGATCTTTTCCAAATGCAGCTTCACTGTTCTTATGTTGTTCAAGGGTTACCGCTAGGTACATTTTTCGCCCTGTTTGTTGTTGGGGGGATTGTGGTGTTTGAATTGAGTCCAATGACTATCTTTGTACTGGTTGAATGATTGATTTCGATTGCTAATATATAAGACATTCGTCTGGTCGCATGTGTCTTCATTAATTCAATTGCGGTTATCCTGGATTTCACTAATTCATACGACAATTAGGTTTCTTTTTTGGCGGCATGTTGCGGTACCGATGATAATGGAAAAAGTTGGTATCAGTCAACTCCTGATGACTTTTGGCGTTTTTTTGTGTAATGGTTAGTTATGTGGTGATTGACTTTGTTAAGTGGTGTATGGTGGGGGTTTTGTGGGGGCATATGGGTGGCTGTCATTCATTGGGAGTGTTGAGTTGGCTTGATTATTATAAATGGGGACTGTTCAGTTTTTTTATTCAGTGAGCTCGGAACGGTGGATTCTCTTTATTTGCGAGTTTGTAGTCACTGTAAAATGCATCCAGTTTTGTATGCCGTGAAAGGGGGCGATGTTTCATATCGAGGGTTTCTCTATATATGACCAATATGGCTCGGGAATTCATCCTTGAAATACAGAAGAAACAAGCTGCAAAGTGTATTTTCGGGTGATTCAAAATTACTGTGAAACTAGTGAGATCGATTAATTGCACGGAATTATCTATACCGGAGTTGGAATAGGGAGTGCTGTTCAAGAATGCCAAACTATTCCTTTCATAAATGCCTGAACTGAATGTTTTT